ATGTGGGCAAGTATATAGTCAATTTTTGTAAATGTTCTTTAAGGGCTTGAAAAAAGTGTTTCTGCAATTGTTGGATGCAGTATTTTACATCTGGCTTATGGGCACGGTTTCATATCTATCTATCAGAAAGAGAGTGCGTATATGGTGGGGGGGGTGCAGAGGGAGGAAGAGAATCTTCATCCAGACTCTCTGCTGAGTGGGGATTCTGACACAGGGCTGGATCCCAGGACCCTGAGATCATGATCTAAGCCAAAACCAAGAGTTGGCTGCCCAACCAACTGGGCCACCCAGACACCACATGGGTCAAGGTTTTTTTTTTTTTTTTTTAGATTTATTTATTTATTCATGAGAGACAGAGACACAGAGAGAGGCAGAGACATAGGCAGAGAGAGAAGTAGGTTCCATGTAGGGAGCCTAATGTGGGACTCAATCCCCTGACTCCAGGATCACACTCTGAGCCAAAGGCAGACACTCAACTGCTGAGCCAGCCAGGTGTCCCATGGGTCAAGATTCTTTAATCATGTTGTGCAAATATTCCACATTTATTACTGAGAGGTATATATTAAAATCGCATAAAATTACAGATTTCTCTTTTTTTAGTTCTGTCAAATTTTGCATTATATATTTGAGACATTACATGGACTACAAATTTTGAATTATTATAATTTTCTGATGAATTGAATATTTTTAATACTATGAAGTAATCCCTCAGCTTTTCCCATAAAGTCTATTTTGTTCTATAATAAAACAACTATACCACATATACATATAACACAATTATGCTTAGTGTTTGCATGGTATATATACTTTTCCACACTTTCACTGTCAACCTTTCCATATCTTGATATTTCAGGTGGACTCTTTTTCAAGGCCTTGATATGACTCCTGCCTACTATTTGTAGTCTCTCTACAACAGCAGAATCCAACAACTATTATTGAATATTGTATTAGATCCTGGGAATAAAATGGTGTGGAGTAAAGGATTAATATCAAGGATCAGCTTGATGTAGGACTGGTTGAGAATGACCTCAGTCTTGAAGGCTTGAATGTAGCAGTTAAGATAAATGGAAAATATTATGTCTGCTTTGGTTGTGAAAGACCGCACCTAGGTTGGAGGCTTGGGGTCTGATGAGAACAGTATGAAAGGTGCTCATTATAAAGAATGGTAGGAAAAAGGGGCTAGAGCTTCTATGTGTTACAATGACCTCCACTACACATAGCTCTCATCTCTGGCAGGTGTACATAACTTATGTGGATGAGAGGGCAAAAGAATCTGTGCATAAAAATAGCTCTGGATCTCCTGATGAGATGAAAACATTATACTCCTACAGTATACTGCTGTATACTCCACCATGTATCCCCTTATCCCCTCTCTGAAGCTAAGTAAACACAGCATTAGATTAAAGATGATTAGAGGCTGATTGCCAGTTTAAATCTGTAACTGCGGCTGTGATGCTCTAATGGTGAACAAGAAAGGCATGATCCCTGTCCTCACAGCAATTACAATCTATTGTGGAAAAAGATAAGTAATCAGGCAATGAAAGATCTAGTATTTAACTCTGTGACAAAGACTGTACAGAGTGCTTTGAAAGCCACCTAATCTAGACTTTTGCAGATCAGAAAGACTTTAATGGAGGATATGATTTTTAATTTTATAATTGAAACATTAGTAGAAGCATCATTAATAATCACTGAAATACTATTTGGAGAAGATGGAAGAGGGGTGTGTGGGTGACTCAGTCAGCTGAGTGTTGGACTCTTGATTTTGCCTCAGGTCATGATCTTGGGTGACCTGAACCCAAGCCCATGATCAGAGTGTCAAGGTCTGCTCTGTGTGGGGAGCCTAAGATTCTCTCTCTCCCTCTGCAACTCTCCACCCCATGTGCACACTTAACCCTCTCGCTCTTTCAAAAAAAAAAAAAAAAAGAGATTGGAGCTGGATGAAAGTAACCAGCATAGCTTACATTCTAGAGACCAGAAGAAAGTATGTCTAGAATATACTGTTGACAAGAAGAGTGGGAAAAATGAAGTCAAAAAGGTAAAACCAGAGGTCAAATCTGGCTTTTCAAGTCATGTTAAGGAGTTGAACTTTATCTTATCTTTAAGCAAAAGGAAGTCATTGCTTCTCAGCCTTTTGGCCGTGTAATATCTGTTTTTATCAGCAAAAGGAAGTCACTGGAAGTTTCAGCAATAGTGGAACATGATTACTCGTGTATTAGAAAGATATTTCTCTCTTGTTGGGTGGAGAATGAATTAGATGGAGGCAAGACCAACGGAAAACAAACCAAGGCACTTAAAAAGTGTTTGTGGAATAATGAAGAAACCAAAGCTTAAAGAAGTAATTTGTCCAGGGTATACAGCTAGTAAGTAGAGAGATTCAATTTGAATCCAGATCTGCGTGACTTTAGATCTTCAAATTTTTGCTTCACTGCCTCTCTATTTCCAACTTCCAGCTCACATCTGTTGAATGAATGAATGTCTTCTACCTTCAGACGACTTATTCACTTCACCCTACCATTCCTCCACTTCTCTCCTGAGAAGCCCTAGAATATAACCCATAGCTCTAAGCTTTCATCCTCCTGCCCTTCCTATTAGCAAACATTTACCACTATCTACAGAAAAGAGAGTATGTATTACTGAAAAAATACATGGAAGTTGCAGCCTGGGAAGACAGATGAATAATTTATTACTTTTATTTCATAAACAGTGTAAAGTAGGTCTAAAACAGAACATGGAAAATTGATGGTCATAAACTTACAAAAATTATCCCAAATTTCCAAATTTTGTCTTTTTGTGCTCATGACTTTTCTTTCTTATAAATACAAGTAAGAAATTCACAAAAGCTGAAATATTCTTCATAGAAGAAACTTCCTCCTCTATATTGTGTCAATAAATCTTTCTAGATAAAGAGGTAATTCCATAATGACGTACTTTAAACTAAAAGAAACAGGAAAGTGAGGCTGTTCTCTCTTGTAACACCTACTTTCACCTGTAGAAAAAGCAAGGCATAATAATGTGGCTTTGGAATTTATTTTTAAAAAAGGAGATTTCAGTTAGATGACTATTATCTAGCTTAAGTTAAAAAAATTATAGGAACCCTTACTTTTTATATAAGTACAAGATAGTCTAAAACTACAAGGCAGGATCCCTGGGTGGCTCAGCGGTTTAGCGCCTGCCTTAGGCCCAGGGCGTGATCCTGGAGTCCCGGGTCCCACATAGGGCTCCCTGCATGGAGCCTGCTTCTCCCTCTGCCTGTGTCTCTGCCTCTCTCTCTCTCTCTGTGCGTCTCTCATGAATAAATAAATAAAATCTTTTAAAAATAATAATAATAAATTAAAAATATAACTACAAGGCTTCTGATACCTCTGAAATATGTCCTTATTTATTTGTTTTTTGTTTGTTTTCTAGTTAAAAGAATTGTAATAGGAGTCAAACAAATCTAGGTTAAAATCTTGGCTCTGACTCTTAACTGTGTAACTGCTGGGCAAATTCTTTTTTTTTTTTTTAATTTTTTCTTATTGGAGTTCAATTTGCCAACATTTAGCATAACACTGAGTGCTCATCCTGCCAAGTGCCCCCCTCAGTGCCCGCCACCCAGTCACACCAACCCCCTGCCCACCTCCCTTTCCACTACCCCTTGTTTGTTTCCCAGAGTTAGGTGTCTCTCATGTTTTGTCATCCTCACTGATATTTTCACTTATTTTTTCTCCTTTCCCTTTATTCCCTTTCACTATTTTTTTTAAATTTTTATTTATTTATTATAGTCACACACACAGAGAGAGAGAGAGAGAGAGAGAGAGAGAGAGGCAGAGACACAGGCAGAGGGAGAAGCAGGCTCCATGCACCGGGAGCCCGACGTGGGATTCGATCCCAGGTCTCCAGGATTGCGTCCTGGGCCAAAGGCAGGCGCCAAACCGCTGCGCCACCCAGGGATCCCCTTTCACTAATTTTTATATTCCCCAAATGAATGAGACCATATATGTTTGTCCTTTTCCAATTGGCTTATTTCACTCAGCATAATACCCTCCAGTTCCATCCAAGTCGAAGCAAATGGTGGGTATTTGTCATTTCTAATGGCTGAGTAATATTCCACTGTATACAAAGACCACATCTTCTTTATCCATTCATCTTTTGATGGACACCGAGGCTCCTTCCACAGTTTGGCTATTGTGGACATTGGGCAAATTCCTAATATCTCTGAGTTCATTTACCTTAAAATGTGAATAATAATCCCTAATTTGTAGGACTGCTGGGGACATTAGAGTCAGCAGTAATGGGCACAGATATGGCTGGGCATAGGGCTAGGCACTTGGCAGCATTCAATTAACAATGGCTCTCTTTCTTTAGGGTCTGCTACCTTATTTTACTCTGGTTTCATTATGGGATGCACTTAAATCATTATTTTCTACAGCAAAGTTTCCTATGTTTGCTTTCTTCAATGTAAGTAACCTCCCACCTCAAAAAAAAAAAAAAAAAAAAAAAAACCTCATCAAACAGGGAGGAAATATTCAAGGAATTTTCAGTCTTTCTTTTCTAGAAAATAGTATCATAAAAAAGACTTTGTATTATATGTGCATAAATGCTGTTTTTTTTCTGCTTTTTTAAAAAATATTTTATTTATTTATTGATGAAAGACAGAGAAAAAGAGGCAGAGACATAGGCAGAGGGAGAAGCAGGCTCCATGCAGGAAGCCCGATACGGAACTTGATCCCGGGACTTCGGGATCACATCCTGAGCCAAAGGCAGACGCTCAACCACTGAGCCACCCAGGTATCCCAGTTTTTTTCAAGAGCAATGCTACACCTAACTACTAATAGCCAGCTGGGCTTGGGCACTGGCATCCTTAAGCACTTGAGTTTGCAAACTCTGTTTTAAGCACTTCCATAGGCTATCTAACATTTTATTTTCAGAAATTGTATCAGCATATAATTTACCAGGAAAGGAAACAAAATGCAGGAGAACTATTGAACACTTAAGTGTGTAATAATTTTTTAAATTACCTGATGGAATATAGGCTCCTTTACCTTAAGGTAAACCTACAAAATATTAAAATAAACACATGTGATTGAAGTGCATTATTGAGGGGGAAGAAAACTTATTCCAACAATTCTGCAAATCCCAAACCTCTCTTGCTTCCCTAGTCCTGCTACTTAGATCTGACCCAGTCATGTAAACACAATCAGATTACGTGGCATTAGCCCACAGCAGGGCTAGTACCTACAGGTGGGTCTCCCCCACCTAGCTTTACCATGGTAAACTAAACATTTCAAAGCTATTGTGGAATACTCTGGCCTCTTGGCTTCTACATCAGCATCAAGGAGGAGCAACAGTAATTACTCATGAGAGCTGAAGGGATTCTGCTGAAAATGTCTGTAACACTTTTTCTACAACAAAGAACACTGGACTTAGAGACAGCAGTTATTTCAAACTCTGCCATTTACTTGCTATATACCTTAAGCAAGTCAGTTAACCAAAAGACTCATTTTTTCCTTATCTGAATAATGGGAATACAGTGGTAAGGAATGCTAAGCTAAAATACATGACAGTTTTGAGCTTATAATGCATGCTCCATAACTGAAAACATTTAAAACAGATTTCTTGTGCTTTTACTTTCAAAACCTCTAACTCACTCATCCAGATGTAGAACTCATCACCCAAATGCATTCCCAATTACACAAACCCTAATTTTAGGTTCCAATATCATGTGGGTGATTAAGTTCAATGCCTATTTAAGATTTAGCATGCATTTACTGTCCTATAAAAATATGCCTTTAAAATGACATGGTAGAGAGAGATCAAAAGTCAAATCATAATCCTGAAATGACTCCCATCACTTCAAGAAAAAGTCCAAATTTCAAAGCTTTCCATGATTTCACTCCTGACTTTCTGTCTGACCTCACTGCTGTCCTCTTGTCCTTTTTTCATCCTAGGCCCTAGAAGTACAGTGCTTCTGCATCTTTAAACATGCTGCTCTTTTTTTTTTAAGTCTATTAAGTTTATTTAAGTCTTTAAGTTTATTTAAATAACCTCCAGTGAGAGCTGAGCAGGCCAATTACTACCCCTTCCTCGTAATACCCATTAACCAAGACAGAGTAAGCATACCCTGCAGCCAGCCTGCCAGCCACTCTTGTGAGGGACAAGGTGCCTCTCAGTGTGGGCGGCCCCGGCCCCATCCCGGCCCGCAGCTGCGGGAGTGTCTACTGTTGAGCAAGGGTTTTTGATGGTCTCATCTACTGACACGATAAGGCAGGCGGCCTCAGAGGCTGTGGTCAGGGCATTGATCCGCACCATGGCTGGCTCCCACACAAACACCTCAAAGTTGTCAGCAATGTCCTCATTGTTGACGTCCACTCCATACCACACGCCCCCCTGGGCATGCCGAGCCCGCAGCTTGTTGAGGATGTTTGTGGCATCAAAGCCAGCATTGTCACACAGCTGACGTGGGATAATTTCCAAGGCCTTGGCATATGCCCCGATCAACAGCTGCTGTTTTCCTGGAATGATCCTTGAGTAATCCCGCAGATACTTGGAAAAGCTCCATCTCAATGGCCCCGCCACCAGCTACCACTGAATCATTCTTGATGGCCCTTCTGACGATCATGATGGCGTCATGCAGAGACCGCTCTGTTTCCTCCATAAACTGCTCAGCACCACCACGAAGGATGATAGTACAGGTCTTGGCCTTGGGGCAGCCAGTGAAGAAATTGTACCTCTCGCCTCCAATCTGCGTCTCTTCAAAGACCTGGCAGCGGCCTAGAACATCAGCTGACAGAGCATTCACACTGGTTTGGATGGAGCCTCCGCAGGCCATCATTGTCCTCTTCAGATCCTCCTCCGGCACTCGGCCAGCACAGAACATGTCCCTGTTGGCAAAGTACTGGGTGGCCACATCCCCAGTGGGGAGTTTGGACAAGACGACTTTGGCTCCAGAATGATGGATCCTCTCTAACTTGTCATAGAGAATGTTCCACTCAGCATCAACAATTGCCTGATAATCCTCTACTGTGTGGACTCTGATTTCAGCATTATCTTTCTCAGCTTTCAGCTCAAGCTCAACATTTAAAAGGGCAATCACTGGATTGTTGTACTTTTTGGGTTGCATTTCAAACCCAGCATAAGAGAAAGTCTTCTTGAATGCAATGCCAGCTACCAGCTGGGACTCCTCTAGAGCACCACCTTGCACCTTCTTGATTCCAATCATTTTAAGCTGCAACAACTCATCGAGCATTATCACTGCATCCACCACCATCCTAGCGAAGAAGGCTTTCTGCTGGGAAATCAGCTTAGAGCTCAGGGCGGTCATGGCACACTTCTCCAGCAGCTTCCTCTGTTCCACTTTATCTTCCTTCTTCACGGTCACAGCGATCTCTTTGATCTTGTTAACTGCCAAATGGGTGGCAGTGCGGAAAGCTCGGATGATGATCTGTGGGTGCAAACCTTCTTCCACATAGGGTTTCACCTGCTTCAGAAACTCTGCAGCCAGCAGGGTCACTGAGGTGGTACCATCACCGACCTCAGCGTCTTGGGATTTAGCAATGTCCACTAGAGTCTTTGCTGTTGGATGGACAACATCAAGGAGTTTCAGAATTGTGGCCCCATCATTAGAAATTGTTGCTTTGCCTTGGCCATCTACAATCAGCTTGTCCATGCCACGAGGGCCTAGGGTGCTTCTAACAGCCTCTGCAATCACCTGGCAGGCACTGATGTTACTTATAAGCTGGGGGATGCCCTGGGAGGTATCGGTCCCCTCTTTTAACAGGATAACTGGTGTGGGCATCATTTTGGAAGCTTATTTGGTGGCCCGCTACTCCTCCAGTCTCCTAAACATGCTGCTCTTTACTTTGTTCAGAAATCCTCCCCTGCTGGCAAGCATTCATCTTCCAAGATCCAGCTCAAACTATTCCTCTTTCTTGAAGCATTTCCTGGTCCCTTCTCCATTCAGCAGAAGCAGCCATTCACCCTCCTTTGTGCCCTCACTGACCATGTATAAGCGTCATGTAATTTACTGGTTTCTTTTTCTCTCCTACAAAGCAATAATTGCTTTGACAGCACAGGCTGTGCTTAGATATCTCTATATCCTCATTTAACGTAGTGCTGACCTCACAAAAATTTTGTATAATTTTACAATTTGGCTACAAAGTTTCTTATTCCTGGAGGAAGTTCCTACCCTCACTACAGTAAGAGGAGAATATTTCCTTTAAGCACCCATAGAGCTTTAATAATAAGATATGCATGAGACACTATGTATCTGTAACTCTAAACTCAGTAAGGAAGAATGCTTTTCATATCTGAAATGTGTTGTTTCAAAATACTAACTTCCCTCTGTATAGTTTCATATTCCCATTGCTAGTAATAACAGAAATGCAAAAGGACATGTCTCTTAAAGACATTTTTTAAGGCAAACGAATTACGGAGTCCTTACCATATACCATGTATTAATTTTCGTAACTAACATGAAACGTATGCTATTATTATCTTCATTTTACAGATGAGGAAATTTAATGCAGAGAGATTAAGTAACTTGCCCAAGGTTCCCAGTTATCAAGTCCAAGCTCGGATCTGACAGACTTCCAAGCCTGTATTTCTGACCACATCAGTTCTGAACTTGCAAAGGGGTCCAGTTTTGACTCTGCCACCAATTCTCCATATAAACTTGGTTGGCCAGGCAAGTCACTAAAACTCTGTCTCTTCTTTTATACAATAATAAGACTTCCTTTCACATCTGAAACACTAGGATTCTCTCATGATCAATGAGTATGTAGTTTATGTGAAGGACTAGAAAATAAGTGTAGAAGCATAAGAAAAGAGTGTATTTGTTCTTTCAACCTCCTATTCACCTTCTCAGCTCATTGATATCTAACCTCTGCCTCTATCATTATATTGCTGACAGTATCCTTATTATGGTCATCTGGACTTTTAATTGAAATTTTTATGGGTCAAACTTCAATCTTTATTTTACTCATCCTCTCCAAGGCAACTAATGCTATCACTTCTTCTAGAAATCTCTTTGTACTCTATGATATCGGACTCTCTAATTTTCCTGCATCTCTCATTACTTGTTCTAGGTCTCCTCTGTTGGCTACATTTCTTCTACCTGACCTTCAAATGTCAGTGTTCCCATGTATAGCATGGTAATTATAGTTAACACTGGGTTGAATACTGGCAATTTGCTAAGAAAGTAGATTTCAGGTGGTCTCATCTCTCGCTCTCCACTCACACACACACGGCAACTATGTGAGAAGATAAGTTAATTAGCTTGCCTATGGTAATCATTTCACTCTGTATATCAAAGTATCATGTTATAGGCCTTGAATGTATATAATTTAGGGTAAAGTATCATAACTGTACTCTCTTGTTTATCTCTCTTAAAAAAAAAAAGTGTTCCATAGGGTTGCATCTGTGGTCATCTTAATGGTTCATGCTATCTCTGTGTCAGTTCATCTATTCCCACATTTCTAGTTCTACCTTGACCCTGACAATTCTCAAATCCATATCACATGCTTAATGTTAGAAACAAAATAGGACTTACTGTGGTTACTATTAAACTGAACAGAACTAAGATAAAAAGTAGATGGTAGTTTACAGAGTTCTTCATTTTGAAACATTCAAACCTTTAAAAAGACAGAAAGAAATTTGTTTTAGAATATATGACTAGTAAAACAAATAGAATGCTATCTTACCACTTGTATATACACCTCTGGGTCTAGTGATGCCCATCATTTTCTCCTACCCAAACTCTCATCTCAGAGAACCTGGACCAACTACAGCCTAGGGAAATCAGGAGCAGGCACCTAGCTTAAACTGGGCCAATGAGAGGCTCTCTTCTGAAAACTTAGGAGTTTGGGAGTCAGAGACTAAATCAATTAAGTGTGGAGAATCAAAGTATAAAGTCTTATGGATTCAAAGTCTGATGCTGATATTTGGGCAGCTAAATTGAATGAACAAGAAGATGAATGAGCAGAGAACTGACCTGCAGGGAGGAAAAAATAAAGCAGATTCAAAGACTTGAGACATGTGGAGAGGAAGGAACAGAGAAAAAAGGGTAGGAGAGAAAGCTGCCCTTGAGTTGTAGTCAGGCTGTACTTCCTGCTGTTGGGTTTCATTACTACTTGTTCATGTCCGTAAAATAAATAAATCTCTTACTCAAGCTGGCTTGAGTAGGTTTCTAAATCTTGCAACGAGACATTCCTAAGCCATACTAATATGGAAAACATCACTCTATTATAATTGTCTCTTTATGGGTCTCCTTAACTAGACTGTGAACTCCTTGTGTGTAGGGATAAACTCTTTTTCTCATGTATCTAATCACTAGGCTAGCAAATACTCAGTAATGAGGAAATATTAACAAATATTTGACTATCAGTTAGGTATCCAACCTTTGAACCTGTATTTTAGTACAAGCAGCAGGAAGAGTTCTGAGTTTATTAGTTAATTGGCTGTGGGAATGGGAATTGGATCCAACTCCTATTTTCTTATCTGTACAGAAAGGTGATTGGCCCAGATGATTTCTAAGATATCTTTTACCTTTAAATTCTGTGACTTGATGACTTATTAAAAAAAAGCTTACCTGAAAGTATTTTTTTATTTTATTTTTTATATTTCAAAGATTTTATTTATCTATTCGTGAGAGACAGAGAGAGAGAGAGAGAGAGAGAGAGAGAGAGAGAGAGAGAGAGAGAGGCAGAGACACAGGCAGAGGGAGAAGCAGGCCCCATGCAGGGAGCCCAAAGTGGGACTCGATCCCGGGTCTCCAGGATCACGTCCTGGGCTGAAGGCAGGCACTAAGCCACTGAGCCACCCAGGCTGCCCTGAAAGTATCTTTCTAGATCAGGGGCAGCAAACTACTGCCCAAAGGCCCAACCAGGTTTTTGTAAATAAACTTTTGCTGGAACAGTTGCACTCATTTGTTAACATATTATCTATGGCTGCTTCAATGCTGCAATAGCAGAGTTGAAGAGCTGCAAGGACCATAGGCCCACAAAACCTAAAATAATTACTTACCCATCCCTTTACAGGAAAAGTTTCAAATAAGCTCTTTGATCATTTTTATTTTTTTTTTATTTTTTTAAGATTTTATTTATTGATTGATGAGAGACACACACAGAGAGAGAGAGGCAGAGACACAGGCAGAGGGAGAAGCAGGATCCATGCAGGAAGCCTGATGTGGGACTTGATCCCAGGACTCCAGGATCACACCCTGAGCTGAAGGCAGATGCTCAACCACTGAGCCACCCAGACATCCCTCTTTTATTATTTTTAAAATATTTTATTTATTTGAGAAAGAGAGAGATAAAGGAAGAGTGGGAGGGGGCAGAGGGACAGGGAGAAGCAGACTCCCCGTTGAGCAGTGAGCCTGATGCAGGGCTTGATATCAGAACCTTGAGATCCTGACCTGAGTGGAAGACAGATGCCCAACCGACTGAGCCACTCAGATAACCCCAGATAAGCTCTTTTAAATAATATGTTTTCTGAAATGATTCTGATTTTTCGATATCTTTAGACACTACCTTATATATTTAGAAGAAAATATTCTTAGGGTGCCTGGGTGGCTCAGGTCATGATCTTTGGGTCTTGAGATCAAGCCCTGTATCAGACTCCATGCTGAGAGTAGAGCCTGCTTGGATTCTCTCTTTCCCTCTGCCCCCTTTCCCCACCCACTGCTCACACTAGCATGCTCTCTCTCTCAAAGAAGAAGAAAAAGAATAGGAAGAAGAAAAATTAGAAGAAGATGATGATGATGATGATAACTTGAGCTAGCAATAATGATCATATTGAAGAGACTTAAATAGCCATCATATAAGGGGCTTAGAAAAAATTTTAAATACTAGTGCTAGGGAATTAAATCCATAGTTAAAAGGTAAGTTTATTAAACTTGTAGTTCAATTCTCAACCCTGACATTTACCAGCTACATGGCCTTAGGCATGTCTCCTAAGGATAAGTTCTGCTTATATCCTTAGACAAGTTATTAAATCTCTCTGTGCTTCACTTCTTCATATATAAAATGGGGATAAAACCCATTTACTTGCACAACTGAGAGAATTAGAGATGATCTATGCAATACCTAGCACACTCACGGGTACTAAGTACATAAAAGTCATATATATTATAACATAAAAATAATATTTATCTAAATTTGTATACATTCATAACTCAAGGAAAGGCAGATTACAAAGTTAAGTCAAATTTAAGTAAGGGTTTATTTAAACTGGTCATAGGGTTTTGTTAATAAACAAAATTATTATAACTTCCCACAGATTATACTCTACATGGAGATCACAGAAGTTATAACCTTTACACTATTACAATCTCTCAGTATGATATAACAGGGTTAACTATATTACTTAATTCACTATGAGGTGAATATAAATTTTAAAATATATTAAACTGAATGTTAAACATAGTACTTACATGCAGTACACAAATATACAACAGCTGTAAATCATTGGGAGTTCATCCAATAGCTATAAGAAACAAAGAAAGAGGACTTGAATATTGCAGATGTGCAATTATTATGCAACTCAAAATAAAACATTAAAATGATTACAACGGTCATCTCTTATTTAGAATCTTTTACTAATTTTTCATATATTTAACATCTAATTTACTATGAGTGTTGCTCCAGGTCATTGGAAGGACGTGACTATCAGTTGACCTGTGAGCTCGACCCAGGCGATTGGAGGCTCCTCACCCCCTCCTGTCCTTGGAGTAGGAGTTTCACTGTCTATCTCGCTCCCAGAGGCTGTTCCAAGGACATAGTCTTGAGATAGTGATGTGGTATTGAAAACACCTACAAGATATACTTGACTGAACTGAATTAAAATCTCATTACAAAGTGAAAATTTGGTAGCAGGTGGGGGACCAATTGCTGCCACCCACAATGAGTCTTGTATATAAGTACTCACTGCTTATTAAAACTGCCACCTACCAACCAGGAATGGCCTGCCTCTTTCTTCCACTTCTTCCTGCCCTCTGCTTTAGGGGGTTGGTTTAATGTCATTAACAAACAAGCCTGCCCATCCATCTATTTATCCTAACATACACACCCTAAGTAGGACACTTGACTCACTGGGCAGCTCAGATCATTCAGTACCACAAACTATGATATCATACCTCCAGGAAAGAATGATGTCTACCATCTCTAGGTCTGTGGGTTCTATCAGTATTCTTTTGCATTTTCCCTTTTCCTAGAACATCTAAGATGGGTAAAATGTCCACTAATATATATAAGAAGAAATATTAATGACTGGGAAAGTCATTTAGTTAATCTAAGTAAATATGTTTCTGAAAATATTATTACCAATAATAATAACAGCTATTATGTATTAAAACTACAAGGCGGACACTAAGGGTATTTTTTTTTTAAGATTTATTTATTTGAGAGAGAGAGCGTGAGACAGCACAAGCAGGGAGAGCAACAGAGGGAGAGGGAGAGAGAGAGAAGCAGGTTCCTGCTGAGCAGGGAGCCCAACATGGGCCTTGATCCCAGGACCTAGGATCAATAACCTGAGCCAAAGGCAGACACTTAGTCAACTGAGCCACCCAGATGCCCTCAGATAGGTTATTTCTAATCCTTAAGCCAATCCTATAGAATGTTCTTATTCACTAGATATGCATTTAATTAATTATTTAATATCTACTATGTGCCAGGCAATATATTAGTTGCTGAGGATATAATGAAAACAAGACAGTCAATGCCCTCAAGGAATTCACAGTCTAGAGAGGTAAAGGGAATGAAAAATATGTGAATAAATATAAAGATTCCAGCAAAAGGGGCACACACACATATATATATTAAAAAATATATATATATTTGTAAAGTGATGGAATTAATGTAATAATGAAATAGCATGTGTGCAGGGTCTCACAGCTAAGCATCTTGCAGTCATTATCTCACTTAATTTTAATAATAATTCTAAGGCAGGTCCTATTCTCTCCATTCCAAGATGAGAACACTGAGATTTAGATAATTTAAGTCATTTGTTCAAGATCATAGAGCTATAGTAATGGAGCCAGATTTTTAACTGACTCTGGAGCATAGCTCTACATTATGTTGCCTCCAAAATTTTTTAACTTGAATCATCTTTACATGTTCAAAAAAGTTGATACAGTATCACAATATCCTACAGATAAATCTACCACAAGGTTTATGATATACAGGAGATTCCTCTTTTTAAACTTTGAGTCCAACTATAAATGGGATTGACTCTTTAATTTTTCCTTCTGTCTCATTGTTAGTGTATAGAAATTCAACTGATTTCTGTGCATTGTTTTATATGCTGCCACTTCACTGAATTCCTGTATGAGTTCTAGCAATTATGGCGTCAAGTCTTTTGGATTTTCCAAATAGAGTATCATGTCATACTCAAAGAGTGAGAGTTTGAGTTCTTTGCCAATTCAGTTGTCTTTTATTTCTTTTTGTTGTCTGATTGCTGACACTAGTACTTCTAGTACTATATTGAACAGCAGTGGTGATAGTGGACATCTCTGTTGTGTTTCTGACCTTAAGAAACTGAGAGCTTAAAAAAAAAAAAAAAAGAAACTGAGAGCTTTTCCCCATTGAGAATGATACGTGCTGTGGGGTTTTTGGATATGACTTTTATGATATTGAGGTATGTTCCCTCTATCTCTACACTGTGAAGAGTTTTAATCCAGAAAGGATGCTGTACTTTGTCAAATGCTTTTTCTGTATCTATTGAGAGGATCATATGGTTCTTATCCTTTCTTTTGTTAATGTGATGAATCACATTGACTGATTTGCAGATGTTGAACTACCCTTGCAGCCCAGGAATAAATCCCAGTTGCTTCTGCTAAATAATCCTTTTAAGGTACTGTTGGATCCTATTGGCTAGTATTTTGGTGAGAATTTGGCATCCATGTTCATTAGGGATATTGGTCTGTAATTCTCCTTTTGGTGGGGTCTTTGTCTGGTTTGGGATCAAACTATTATAATCCTGGCCTCAAAGAAAGAGTTTGGAGTTCTCCTTCCATTTCGGTTTCTTTGAAACAGCTTCAGAAGAATAGGTATTAATTCTTCTTTAAATGTTTGTTTTTTTTAATAAATTAATTTTTATTGGTGTTCAATTTACCAACATACAGAATAACACCCAGTGCTCATCCCGTCAAGTGTCCCCCTCAGTGCCCGTCACCCATTCACCCCCACCCCCCGCCTTCCACCCCTTCCACCACCCCTAGTTCGTTTCCCAGAGTTAGGAGTCTTTATGTTCTGTCTCCCTTTCTGATATTTCCCACACATTTCTTCTCCCTTCCCTTATATTCCCTTTCACTATTATTCATATTCCCCAAATGAATGAGAACATACACTGTTTGTCCTTCTCCGATTGACTTACTTCACTCAGCATAATACCCTCCAGTTCCATCCACGTTGAAGCAAATGGTGGGTATTTGTCGTTTCTAATGGCTGAGTAATATTCCATTGTATACATAAACCACATCTTCTTTATCCATTCATCTTTCGATGGACACCGAGGCTCCTTCCACAGTTTGGCTATTGTGGACATGGCTGCTAGAAACATCGGGGTGCAGGTGTCCCGGCGTTTCATTGCATCTGAATCTTTGGGGTAAATCCCTAACAGTGCAATTGCTGGGTCATAGGGCAGGTCTATTTTTAACTCTTTGAGGAACCTCCACACAGTTTTCCAGAGTGGCTGCACCAGTTCACATTCCCACCAACAGTGCAAGAGGGTTCCCTTTTCTCTGCATCCTCTGCAACATTTGTTGTTTCCTGCCTTGTTAATTTTCCCCATTCTCACTGGTGTGAGGTGGTATCTCATTGTGGTTTTGATTTGTATTTCCCTGATGGCAAGTGATGCAGAGCATTTTCTCATGTGCTTGTTGGCCATGTCTATGTCTTCCTCTGTGAGATTTCTCTTCATGTCTTTTGCCCATTTCATGATTGGATTGTTTGTTTCTTTGCTGTTGAGTTTAATAAGTTCTTTATAGATTTTGGAAACTAGCCCTTTATCTGATATGTTATTTGCAAATATCTTCTCCCATTCTGTAGGTTGTCTTTGAGTTTTGTTGACTGTATCCTTTGCTGTGCAAAAGCTTCTTATCTTGAGGAAGTCCCAATAGTTCATTTTTGCTTTTGTTTCTTTTGCTTTCGTGGATGTATCTTGCAAGAAGTTACTGTGGCCAAGTTCAAAAACGGTGTTGCCTGTGTTCTCCTCTAGGATTTTGATGGAATCTTGTCTCACATTTAGATCTTTCATCCATTTTGAGTTTATCTTTGTGTATGGTGCAAGAGAGTGGTCTAGTTTCATTCTTCTGCATGTGGATGTCCAATTTTCCCAGCACCATTTATTGAAGAGACTGTCTTTCTTCCAGTGGATCGTCTTTCCTCCTTTATCGAATATTAGTTGACCATAAAGTTCAGGGTCCACTTCTGGGTTCTCTATTCTGTTCCATTGATCTATGTGTCTGTTTTTGTGCCAGTACCACACTGTCTTGATGACCACAGCTTTGTAGTACAACCTGAAATCTGGCATTGTGATGCCCCCAGATATGGTTTTCCTTTTTAAAATTCCCCTGGCTATTCGGGGTCTTTTCTGATTCCACACAAATCTTAAAATAATTTGTTCTAACTCTCTGAAGAAAGTCCATGGTATTTTGATAGGGATTGCATTAAACCTGTAAATTGCCCTGGGTAACATTGATATTTTCACAATGTTAATTCTGCCAATCCATGAGCATGGAATATTTTTCCATCTCTTTGTGTCTTCCTCAATTTCTTTCAGAAGTGTTCTATAGTTTTTAGGGTATAGATCCTTTACCTCTTTGGTTAGGTTTATTCCTAGGTATCTTATGCTTTTGGGTGCAATTGTAAATGGGATTGACTTCTTAATTTCTCTTTCTTCAGTCTCATTGTTAGTGTATAGAAATGCCATTGATTTCTGGGCATTGATTTTGTATCCTGCCACGCTACCAAATTGCTGTATGAGTTCTAGCAATCTTGGGGTGGAGGCTTTTGGGTTTTCTATGTAGAATATCATGTCATCGGCGAAGAGGGAGAGTTTGACTTCTTCTTTGCCAATTTGAATGCCTTTAATGTCTTTTTGTTGTCTGATTGCTGAGGCTAGGACTTCCAATACTATGTTGAATAGCAGTGGTGAGAGTGGACATCCCTGTCTTGTTCCTGATCTTAGGGGAAAGGCTCCCAGTGCTTCCCCATTGAGAATGATATTTGCTGTGGGCTTTTCGTAGATGGCTTTTAAGATGTCGAGGAAAGTTCCCTCTATCCCTACACTCTGAAGAGTTTTGATCAGGAATGGATGCTGTATTTTGTCAAATGCTTTCTCTGCATCTAATGAGAGGATCATATGGTTCTTGGTTTTTCTCTTGCTGATATGATGAATCACATTGATTGTTTTACGAGTGTTGAACCAGCCTTGTGTCCCGGGGATAAATCCTACTTGGTCACGGTGAATAATTTTCTTAATGTGTT